TCTGATTTTTGCACAGTACTGGTCAATGGAAATCTCCGTAAAGACAGAAATACAGGAATGTGTGTGTGCTCGATGAGTCATCCTGCACCTGGAGACACTCACACCTGTTCCCCAGAGACATGGGCTCTGCCTGGTTCAATCAACTAGTCAAGGTCAGAGCTCTTTCTCTTCCTCTTTCTGTCTGTCTCGCTCTCTGACACACACACAAACACACACACACACACACACACACACACACACACACACACACACACACACAAACACACACACACACTGAAAGACACACTGTTGTTCATCAGAGCTTACAGCCAAAGCACAGTTTGTGCATGCTGCTGTTTCCCGTGTAACTTAACTCAGTATGATGTTGAGTTAATGCCCCAGATGCACATCTCCTCATTCATCTTTCCACACCTCCCCACCCCCACCCCCTTCACGCTGCTCCCCATGTTACTATTCCTAAACGTGACAAACTGACGCACGCGCTGACGCAGAACTTGCAATCCCGCCCACCAACCCCACCTGAGCCAATCAGGTTCAGCTCGGAGCTCACTACAGGAGAAACTCCCACTGGGCCACACCCTCTCCAGTCTCAGAGAGCACCACCATGGAGACAGGAGAACAGTGCAGAACAGTGCCGTGCACAGTATGGGAGTCAATTCCTGACAAGCAGAGGAGAAAATCTGCTCTTCTTTTTCTCTTTCTCTGTTTCTGGCAGCAGTGTGTCAAAATCTGGACCTTGTATCTCGAAATCATTATTTAGATTTTCGAAATATTGACATAGTTCCTCGAAATAATGACATTTTCTCAAAACGTCGTAGAATCTCAAAATAATGATTTACTTTCTCAAAATATTGACTTAGTATTTGAAGATAGTTGTTTGTTGTTGCCTCGAAATAATGACTTCAAATGTCTAAATAATGACGTCATTTAATTGAAATTTAATAACTCATTTTGCATTTAGAAATAGTAAATCGACGTTTTAAGAAAATAATGAATTATTTCGAGGTGCCTAATCAAAATATTTAGACAATAAGTAATTATTTTGAGATACTAAGTCAGTATTGTGAGATATCAAGTCATTTTATATAGTAAATCAAAATTGCGAGAAAATGAGCAGTTAATTCGAGATGATACGTCAAAATTGTTAAGAAAATGAAAAAATGATTTCGAGATGCGTGGATCTACTGAGAACCTGGAGTACATATGTAACTTATATATGTGAAGAGTTTCATTCCAAAATGCGTTTAACGTAATTTATTGTTTTGTATCAGCATAATAAAAAAAAATAATAAAATAATAATAATAATCATCATCATCATTATAATAATAATAATACAGTGCAGTGCATTTGATACATAAATACACTGTTGATACTTCAAGCCTTAGACTGATGATGAAAGATAAACTGGCCAAGCCCACAGTCCAAACTGAAGCACAAAAATGGATTCATGGAAAGTGAATGAGACCCATATCAGTGTTCGTGTGTGTGCGCGCACTCATATTTCACGTACTGCCTGAGTGGCTCTGTGCCCATTCAAACTAGAATGCCTGTGTGGCCTTTCTCTCTCTCTCTCTCTCTGTCTCTCTCTCCCCACTCTGTCTTTTGTCCTCTCACTTCTCCTCGTATCTTTATAGAGGAGACAGGGTTGCCATAGAGACAGAGATGTGTATGGAAGGACATGCAAAAAAGTCTGTTGTGGAGTATTTTGAAAACTAGAGGAAATGAATGGATCAGTGAGTCTCTGTGTTCACTGGCTGCGAATACAAGCCGTACGTGTGGAAAACCCAGAGACACACCATGAAAAAGCGTTTACCAGCATGTTTCCCCAAATAAAACTGACTGGCCCACTTCATCCAGCCATTCCTTAATTCATCACGGTAATCATAAGACCAAATGAACCCAAATGCTTTAGGTAGAAGAAAGAGAGCTATTCATCTTCGAGTGGATGTTGCAGTAGACGTGCTGACAGGGGTTAAGTGACTCTGAGCTGATAATGTGCAAATAGCGGTGCTCCGTCATATCCTAATGACATCACAGTGGCACCCCATTCTCTGACCGCTTCAATCTGATTATCAGAGAGAGAGAGAGAGAGAGAGAGAGAGAGAGAGAGAGAGAGAGAGAGAGAGAGAGAGAGAGAGAGAGAATGATCTTCCTCAATGAGAGCACCGCAAAAAGTGGAGCAACTTGGATTCAACCACTGTTCATAGTTCTCGGAAACACATATATAGATCCACAGATGCAGATATAGTTCCATATATTATCATAGAGGTTTTTATTTCTGACATACATTTAGACTATTTAGAAACCAAAGGAGCAATGCCACCAGTACACGTTTGATCAGCAATAGGTGCACTACACCTTAACGGGTAACCTGGCCTCTATTCCTCAAGAATAACTCACTGTCCATATAGTTGAATAAAACGCCTTAGGATATCACAAGGCTGGGAATCTAAGGGGTTACGAGCATACCATGATCTCGATGTTCCTCACTTTGCCTTGAAAATACCCACTGACACTAGTTTACATGGGTTCGTTTTACAAATTAGGGCTGCTACAGCGCCCTCCAACGGCGGTGCACATGTAAGACGAGAGCATATAGTGAGGCTTTCGACTGAAAAGTATTACATCACGTATTACGTAAATGTATCCTTAAAGCTGCGTTTTGGCAGATATGAACAGTTCTGATAGAAATGGCTGCCTAAACTACATGAAAACAATCTTTTACACCCTACATTTCTACCTAATGCCCGCTGAATGTGCTGTATCTACTGTATGTGCTGTATTTACTGTATGTGCTGTATTTACTGTATGTGCTGTTTGTATCCCGCCGAGATCTTTCTTCCACGGCCGATTTGATCCAGCGCTCCCAGTCGCTGTAATTATTTTCCAGTCAGAGCCAGAAGGTGAATGAGCTGACAGTTATGACCGGAGACCCCCTCCCCCCCCCGCGCCGCCCCCTCCTCCTTCTCCTCTGTGGGAAAAAGAAAAAGGACCCGGCTATAATTCAATTCTGCTCCGTCTCGGGTAAATTAACAAACGGAATGGGCGCATATTGGATGTAAATGAACTCCATTCGTAAAGTGAAGAGGGTTGATTAAACAAACGCACACGAACAGTTCACTCACTTGGCTTACATTTCTGGACACACTGTGACAAACGTGAGAGATACGCGTTTTAAAATGTGCTGTTAACATTAACGGGGTTGTTTATTTACTTATAGTCAGAGTTTTATGCTGAAATAAAACTGTAAAATCTGCACGTTCGAGCTCCAATTAGTGTGGGACCCATCTGATCTCGCCGGGTCTTTCTGACTCTGGGGACCGATCTGAGCCCCGCGCGGCACGCGCCTGGTGATCGCGGGATTTCTGGTTGTCCAGGAAACGTGCGACGCCGCCATCTGTCCGCGCGCGCTGATCCCTGTCGCCCTGCTGTGTAGCGCGAGACATAAAGATAACCCGGCCAAATGAAGACTAAGAGCTGATATACGGATGGCTTTATTGGACCGCGCAAGCGCACAAGCGCGCTACGTTTATCTAAAAAATAGGACTATGAGGTCCAGCAAGGTCAGGCAAATTAGATTTTATTCATGCGGACAAATATAAAACAATGAGTGGCAGGCAGGGCACAGTGGTGTGTGTTAAATTAAGATCCCAAGATTCTATTCTACATTTTCTTGCACTTTATTTTTTCGTTTGGGGTCCATTTATGTCATTTGTGAAGTTTTTTTTGTAAATAAAAGGTCATAATTAATTTTACATAACCATCTCTTTATTCCTTAGAACTAAACAGTCTGTTTTTGTTACTATGCCTTTAAGACTTAGAGAAGATAAATGAGCTCCGTTCTGATTGGCTGCCCTCTTTTGCGTCTCATTCAGAAAGCACTCAGAGGTGAAACACTGCTTAGAACTTCAGTGTGAGTGGACGGAGCTAAACTGCTGTAGGCTGAATAGAGGGATATGTGTAAAGTTGATTCTCATGACTTTACAGAAGTAATGAATTCAAAACACGCCATATTCGCAGCATGGTTTCCATATATGGACTGTATGAACAGGGGAGTGACCAGTACGTCTTGAAACTTTAATATGTTTACATATTACTTCAGACTCTTTTATTCAAACAAAGGGAAGCAAACGTAGTTTTTCATGATATGTACCCTTTAGGGTTGGGTTGAGGGCTGATAACTGTGATGAACACTGCCCTCTGCTGGTCAAAGCTGGTCGTGGCCTGTCTCCTCTCATATCCCATTTATTCACTCACTCACTCACTCACTCACTCGCTCGCTCGCTCACTCATTCACTCACTCACTCACTCACTCACTCACTCATTTTAATATCCTCACAATGTCAAAATATTCTTGCTTTCCATCAGCCTCCAGTCATTTGGTTCCCACAGAGAGTTGCATGTGTTTCTCTGACACGCTTTGATAATGCGGAATGTATAGTGGGTATTGTCAAAGATATAAATAACCCTGATTTGCAGGTAAAACTGACTGGAGTTGGACTATCTGACACAGTATTCAAATGAGCTCTTTAATTTAACACAGCATGCCATGCAAACCTTAAACAAACACATGAGAGGAAACTCATACCACACTCTTATCAGACTGAACTATCATAACCAACATTTAAATCATGTCCCTTCAGATGGCATTAGTTCAGCTGTTTCAGCTCTATTATATTTATAACACATGACGTACTGGAAGCAAAGTTTTGTAAGGTTTATTCCAGATGTTTGCCACATGGTGTAGTTGTTTCTGAACGCATAAATCACCAATGAATCACCTGTCTTTTATCCTAACCTTCTATTTCAAATCTTTATAAAATCATCTTGTATAGGAAACCTGTGCAGTTTATGTTAACTGCTGTTTACCTACTAGAGCCTGCTGCTTTAGGGGTGCTCTTATTTAAATTCCATGCAAATACTGAGTCTGTGAAGTCAAACATATCTGCGCTCCCCAGAGTGTCCTGCATTTTAGAGCACTTGTTCAGAGAGAGTGGAAGTGGAAGCAGCAGTGAACGAACACTCAAGCTGCTGCGCACTGACAGAGCGACTCGGCACAGCTCTGTGAAATGTGAGTGCACACGGACGGCGTGTCAGAGCTTTAGACAGTTAAAGCCTGCCAGCAGAGCTGCTGGTGTACTTTCACACAGCTGAGGAACCTGAGGAGAACTTCAAGGTAAGTCTTCTTCTATGCTGTTTGCTTTTCTTACATTCATGGGACTGCACAATGCATGACTAACAGAATGAATGAATAGTAATCTATGAAATCATTCAAATATCGTGAATGGGCAAAGATAGTCATCAATGAATAGTGTTGGAAAAAAAACTCATATCTCCAAAAAAGTAACTTTATAGGAGAAGGAAAAACATTCTTAACTTGTAACGAAAGTTAATGTAACTACATTTTTACATTTTACATTCTAAATTTAAGTAATTTTGAACCATTTTTGTTGGCCCATTTTTCATGAATTTGTAAGCAATTAAACACTATATTTAAAATGATGTAAAATAAAATCTTAAAAAATTAGATTTTTTTGTATATCAGTGTATATGTTTTTAATTTTTTGACATAATTTGAATATTGTTGCTTTCCAAAGAAAACCATGCATTTCCATTTTTGTCGATTTTTAGTTTTCTACATCATTTCAACACACCAGCTGTCCTTTACACTGTGTGAAAATTTCATGATGAATGGACCAATAGAAATGCTCCAAAATCATTTGGAATAAAATCTCTTTACATGAGTGTTGTTTGTCTCTCCTGTAAACGTACTATTTAGGAGATGCTTGTTTTTCCTTCTCCTGTAAAGTTCCCATTTTGGAGATATAATGTTTTTTTCCAACATATTCACATAAATATGTACATATTTGTGTATAGCATCTTTTAGTGAGAGTATGAAAGCCAATTGATAATAATGTATTAATTATGCTGCATGTTCATGTGCAGTTTCATAAAGAAAAGAAATAGTTTACCTGGACAGGCTATTTTAAGGATTTAGGCTAAAAATACATCATTGACCTCTACTAGTAATACATCTAGGAAGGTATCAGATTGTATTACTTTCACAGGTGGAGGCGGATATGCAAATAGGTCAGAAGAAGAGATGTGCTGTACATAATAATGATCTGGGTAGAAGAAATAAAATTAGGTCAAACAATAACCTCAAGACTATGAAATAACAGGACAGGTGTTATATTTAAAGTCCTATTACTTTCTGGATGTGAAGAATACACACACACACACACACACACACACACACACACATACATATATCATATATATATATATATATATATATATATATATATATATATATGTATTCTTCACATTCTAGACATTTCTAGACATTCAGGGCAAGAAATCACACTAATAATAATAATAGAGTAAATCTCGAATTTAAGAGGTTTAAACAGGTTTTCCCCCCATTTTAGTGACCTCATTAGGGGGTTGTGTCTAATGTGCCCAACCCCTTAAACTGTATGCTTATTATTTAGTTAGTAATTTTGGTAAGTGCTTTAACTGATTTGGTAAATACTATGAAAACGAGTGAGCAATTGAGATCCCTGATTAGTTTGAGCAGTTAAAAATTAAGGCTTCTAACTGATTCTTCTTAAAACTTTATTTGATATAGGAGTTTCTTTAACCTGTTAACCATGTCCAGGAGCCGACAGTGGGTCTAGTCTACCATTCCTCACTCTCATGACTTAAGAACACAGTCAGTTTTCACTGATTTCCTTGTAATTACTGAATATTTAGCCTTTGGATATGATAAGTCAGGGTATTTAAGGGGTTAAGCTTAAGGGGCTAAAGTTTAATGCACACACATCTCATTTAGAGTAATGTTTTTAAAATAGTCATCAATTTAAAGGTGCTTCTGGGAACCAGAGGTTCTTCTCTGGATTCACTCCAAAGAACCCTTTTTGGCACCATTTCAGAGGAAAGGGTATATCAATGAAGAAGTATAATTAAAGTCTTCATTAGATTTATTTCATTGTAGCACATCATCACTGTTGGGACCTGTTTTTGGTGTGTTTTTTTTTTTAATAATTTGATACCAGTTGTCCTGTCAATTGTGTGAAAAATTTATAATGAATTGACCAATAGAAATAATCAAATAAAAAAGGAAATAAAAGGAGTAAAACCTTTTTACATTCACTTACATTGAGGTTAAGTATGTTTTTTTCTTCTCCTGTAAAGTTTCCATTTTGGAGATATGATTTTTTTTCCAACAGTGTCAATATGTTACAGACATTGTTGTGTTAACAGTACAGTCTAGGGCTCTAGTTGGGTAAGAACTCATGTATAAAGCTCAATTAGATTAATTTTCTTTCTCCAGGCTAATTTTTGCTACTGTGAGCCCACTATGGTGCAGTTTCACTTTGCTGTTTTTATTTGTTTTGAGTGCATTTCACTGTTTGCCATGTTATCTTCTGTGTTATATCCTCAAGTTTCAGTGAAACTGTGAACAATGCAGAATGCTTTGTGGGAAAAAAAACTCTTTTTGATCTGATGTAATATGATAGGGATTAAGATAGCCCATCTGATACTGGCTGAGTGTTTTTTTCTGGCTGTGTTTTCCTGCCACCTGAACAGGATCTTTATCTTTTTGTAGCGTACACACAGCACCATGCTCCAGAAACTGTGGCCTGTTATTAATACTTTGCCTTAGGGGTTTCTGTATTATCTTTTGGATTATATACTCATTTTCAACCAGATCATAATATAAAAGCACTATTTTTTTATTTCCTTTCAAACATCTTAGAGTGAAAACCCTGAGTTTTTGAGTTTCCTATGACTTCATGGGCAGGCCGGGCCAGCAGGTGACAGCCTCAAGACATATGCTAAGACTTTTGGTGCCTGAGCTTTAACTAGTGTCAGGATTTTTTTGTTGGCAATACAGAACAGTCATTTGGCTGTCAGAGTTGAAAAACAATCACAACTTTTGATTTATTTTCTTGGAAATGCCTAGGAGCCTTTGACCCATTTACTGCTTGGTGTAGTATTAGAAGGAAAGTTAATTAAGTGTTAGTAGCAGTTCCCTATTCACCATGTTCAGGAGATGATTAGGTAGCAAAATTACAGCCTTTTCCTTTTTCATGAAGACTTTACATAAAAAATACCTTAATGGGGTGTGGCCCTCTTAATGTTCTTCTGTATGTTCATTTTCACACAGATAGAACATAAAACGTACTTCTACATAAAGATGTTCCTTTAGTCTCAGTAGAAATCAAATAAACCCATTTATATTCACAGTACTGTGCAAACATTTTAGGCAAGTGAGAAAATTAGATTTAAAAAGATGCTAATCTGTGCATTAAGCATTTATTGCTTGGAAAAGCACTAATATTAGAAGAAATACAATAACATTAGAACAATAAGTAGTGATTTTGTGTATGTCAGTGTGTTCGGTGAACATTTTCAAACATCTCTTCATTGCAGCCCAGTATTTTCTGCAGTCAATATCTAAAATTTTCAATGTAAATATATCATGGATGAACTTCCCATAAGGAAGGTGAGAATAGGGTTGGTTGGCACAGTGTTAGTTTGATCATTTCTAGGTCAGTAGGAGGAAAACAAGAATGTAAGATAAAATGATTCCCCTTTTGACCAACATAAATCCATTTTGTTAAGAGCTCTGAATGTTACATGTTGGGACAGGTTTGCCCAGATTTGTAGCAAGAGTGGCACATGATTTTCTCCTCTCTCTCAAAAAGACAAAAACATTGGGTACTGTGAACAATTTGAATTCTGGAGTTTTTGAAAATCCTGTTTTTTCCCTTATTTTACTTTGATTGATCCCTTCCTAATGCAAATGGATTATCTCATATCTAATCTTCTCAGAAATATCTCCTGAAAAATCAATAACGTAACTGGAAATTAAATAAAGGAAGGCTGGTCTCTGACTTTTGCACAGCACTGTATATACAGGCATTGTGAGTTCGAAGCTTGTACATTAGTATGTGTGTTTCTGCTACTTTCAGCATGTATGAATGCATTTGCGCACTTGTTAGTATATGTGGTGTGGTGTTTTGCGTGAGTGTGGGTGAACACAGTGGTTCTTTATGAGTGCTGGTTAGGCCTCTGCCTGTGCTCCTGTGTGCGCAGGGTCAGGTGTCAGTGATGGTGTGAATGTAACACCTGTGTGCTGTCTCGCTGCTGTGTGGGCTTCCCATGCCCTATCGACCAGCCAGGATCAACCTCAACACATCCAAGATTCATCTCACACATCAGCCCTGAAAGTGAGACAACTTTGTGCACATTTGCAATTAAAAAATATTCTGTGCTACTAATTTGAATACATACTAAATCACTGAGAGAATCAAACATTACTCACCTACAGAGTGTAGCAACAAGAGAAATTGTAGTGTCTATAGTTCTGTATATGATGTTCTGTATATGAGCCCTCATATTGGATCACATTGTGATATTTGCTGTCATACCTTGAGTTTAGAAATCAGAATCAATATCAGGAGAGAAAACATTAGATCTGTGCAGCTATACATTCAGGGCTGTAGAAGGGAGATTAATAAGTAAATATATAGTATAATTTACAGAATATGGTCTATATTAAGCAGGAAAGTAAATCTCTAAATGAATTGTATGGCGAGAATGCTTGCTTTCTTTTACAGCTCAGGTTCAGCTGGTTCTATGTAATATACATGTACATACTATATAAGACTCATGTCTTTGAGTGACTGTACTGCTTTTACACCTCATTTAACTACCCGGTAATTTTGGTATGTTTTTTTTATTTACTTTTCTGTTTTACACTAAAAAATTAATGTTTCTTTGTTTTCACCACCTTATTACCCCACAATGTACTTTCATAAGTTTTCTCAAAACACTGAAGCTCAGTTTTTGAGCTTTTAAGCAGCTATATAATGAATTATTTTTTACAAGAGACAATTGGAATAATCACAAACTGAGATGTAAAAGAAAACTCCTTCAAAAATAGTCTTAAGAGTTACATACACTCTCAGAAATAAAGGTACAAAACTGTCACTGGGGCAGTACCTCTCTTGTCATTGGGGTGGTACCCTCAAGGGCACATCTCAATACCTTTGGTCAGAGGACATGATTGTACCATAATCCATTGAAATTATATTTTCTGAGTCGTATTGATTCCACACTCCCCGTCTCGTCTCCAGGCTTTTTTATTTTATTGTTCTGCTTTAA